TGTTGTTGTTGTTTTTCCTGTCTCCACCTTCTTCAGTTCAGCTCTAATTTTAGTCATTTCCTGTCTTCTACTAGCTTTGGAATCTGTTTGCCCCTAGTTCTCTAGTTCTTTTGGTTGTGATGTTAATGTGTTGACTTAAGATATTTCTGACTTTTTGTTGTGGGCATTTAGTGCTATAACTTTTCATGTAAACATTGCCTTAGTTGGGTCCCAGAGCTTCTGTTATGTTTTTTCTTTGTTCTAATTAGTCTCAAAGAACTTCCAAATACCTGTCTTAATATCATTATTTACCCAAAAGTCATTTAGAAGTCATTCAATTTCCATGTTTTTGGATAGTTTTGAGTGAATTTCTTAGTCTTGATTGTTAATTTGATTGTGCTGTGGTTTGAGAGGTTCTTTGTTATGATTTCAGTTTTTTTTCATTTTCTAAGGAGTGTTTTATTTCCAATTATGTAATTAATTTTAGAGTAAGTGCCATGTGACAATGAGAAGAGTGTATATGCAATTGTTTTTGAGTGGAGAGTTCTTTAGTTATCTATCAAGTCCATTTGATCAAGTGTTGAGTTCAGTTCTTGAATATTTTTGCTAATTTTCTGTTTCAATGACCTGTCTAATATTGTCAATGAGGTATGAAAATCTCTGACTACTATTATGTGGAAGTCTAAGTCTCTTCGAAGGTCTCTAACAACTTGCTTTATAAATCTCGGTCCTACTATGTTGGGTACATATATATTTAAGATAGTTCTTCTTGTTGAATTGAACCTTTTACCATTATGTATCACTCCTTTTTGTCTTTTTTGATCTTTGATGGTTTAAAGTCATTTTTGTCAGAAACTAATATTACAATCTCATCTTTTTTATGTTTTCTATTGTCTTAGCAAATTTTCCTCTATCCCTTTATTTTGAGCCTACCTGTTCATTGCATGTGAGTTGGATCTCTTAAAGACAGCATCGCAAGGTCTTGGTTCTTTATCCAGCTTGTCACTCTGTGTATTTTAGCTGGGGCTTTTAGCACTTTTACATTTAAGGTCAGTATTTATATGTGTGGATTTGATTCTGTCATCATGATGTTAGCTGATAATTTTGCAAACTTAGTTTATTTGGTTGCTTTATAATGTCACTGGTCTATACATACTTCAGTGTGTTTTTGTAGTAGTTGGTAATAGTCTTTCCTTACCACATTTAGTCCTTGTTTCAGGAGCTCTTTTATGGCACGTCTGGTGGTAAGAAATTCCCCAGCATTTGCTTGTCTGAAAAAGAACTTATTTCTTCTTAGCTTATAAAGTTTGATTTGGCTAGATTTGAAATTTTGGGTTAGAATTATTTTCTTTATAAAATGTTGAATATTGGCCACTAATCTCTTCTTGCGTGTAGGGTTTCAGCTGAGAGATTCGCTGTTAGTCTGATGTACTTCCCTTTGTAAGTGGCCTGGCCTTTCCCTCTAGTTGCCATTAACATTTTTTCTTTCATTTTGACTTTGAAGAATCTTATAATTATGTGCCTTGGGGATGTTTTTCTCATGGTGTATCTTACTGGAGTTTTTTACATTTCCTGAATTTGAATGTTTGCCTTTGTAACTAGGTTCGGGAAGTTCTCATGAATGATATCCTAAAATATGTTGTCCAAATTGATTCCAATGTCCTCATATCATTCAGGAAAACAGTCAGTCATAGATTTGGTCTCATTACATAATCCCATATTTTGTGGAGGTTTTGTTAATTCCTTTTCTTTTTTTTCTGTTTTTGTCTCATTATTTCAGAAATCTAGTCTTCAAACTCAGTTATTCTTTTCTCCACTTGATCTCTTCTACTATTAATACTTGTGTTCACATTAGGAAATTATGTAGTGTGTTTTTGTGCTATATCAGGTTGATTACAGTCTTTCATCTATTGACTGTTTTGTCTGACAACTCCTGCAATGTTTTATTAGGAGTTTCAGCTTTCTTGCATTGGTTTATAGTGTACTCCTTTAGCTCAGTGTACTTCATTTCTATCCAAATTCTGAATTCCAATTCTGTCATTTTAACTTCCTCAGTCTCTGCCCGATTCCAAACCCTTGCAGTCATTTGGAGGAAAGAGGGCACTCTGTTTTTTTGAGTTTTCAGCATTCTTGTGCTAATTCTTTTTCATCTTGGCAGGCTTATTTACCTTCAGTATTTGAAGTTGCTGGCTTTTGTGTATTTTTCTTCCTTTAACAGTCTGTGCACTTTTCTGTAGACTTGCTGTGGTATGCTGGGTTTCCACTTCAATGCCTAGTCACCTCAAATTTTCCTGTACCTGCAGGTATCACCAGTTAAGCCTGTGAAGCAGCAAAGATGGCAATCTGCACCATCTTCAAGAGGTCTGTGACAGGGAGGTACGGACATATTGCTGGCTCAAATGCACCTGTAGGAGGTGGCTGGAGACCCTGGTTGGGAGATCTTGCCCAATCAGGAGGAACGGGATCAGAGACCTGCTTTAAAAAGTCCTTTGACCATGTTTTCATAGACAAGCTGTGCTATGCTGGGGGACCACTTCAGCTCATGGTCACCTCAGACACTATGAAGCCTGAAAGTTGGAACAGCTAAATCGCCCAAACAGCAAGTATGACAGCATCTACAGAAATCATTTTATTTGAGTTATGTAGCAAGAACCCAACTTAAGCAAATATAAAACTTATGACTAACTCATTATTTGGATATTAATGTCTATGCTAAACCGATTTGTTCATGGGCTAGTCAGCTATTCATATGACCTTTACAATTTTCTGAATTCTATTTTTTGGTTAAAAAAAGAAAACAAACTGATACTTATCGCTTTCCAATAAACATTTGATTTAAGTTGTTATGCCTTCAATATCTCATGTAAAATGCTAGTTTCATTACAACTGTATGTAAATATGTATAAAATAGAAAGTATCTGAGATAAATCTCAATCAGTTTTGAAGTTTATTTTGCCAAGGTTAAGGACATGCCCAGAAGAAATAAACATGAAATCACAGAAACAGGCTATGGTCTGTACGTTTTTCCAAAGATGATTTTGAGGACTTCAACATTTAATGAGGAAAAGTAATCTGGAGGGGAAAGAGAGAGGGTATAGTAATCCACGTGTTGTAAAAGAAAAGGAGCAGGTAGGAGAATAATCAATTATATTTTTGTCTTGTTCTCAGTAAATTGGCATTTTACATAAGATCATGTGAACATGGCATAGCTGCCTGTGGAGATATTTTACCTTTCAACTGTAGCTGTCTGCTTCAGAACAGAAGGAAAGGTAGTTTCTTGCATGACTCAGTTTCCAGTTTATTATTATTATTTTTCTATGGCATAGTGAATTGAGTTCTCAAGTTTTTATTTCCCTGTCAGGTATCTTTTGGGGTATTTTTCAAAATTGCAGTTTTAAAACATGCACCCTGAAGATTCTGGTAGCAAAAGATGTCATGTGAGACAAAATCTGTACTTTTTAAAAATCTCTAGGCGATTCTCTTCACAGTCCAATTAGGGAAAAACTGATTAAGGACTTTATACCAAACCAGACTTGCAAAAGAGAGATGCAAAAGCATTTGAAGACTCTATAATAACAAAATTTAAAAAATATATATTTATTTCAAGTATCCAATACTGACTACAGAATATAATAGATTTATTTCTAGAACGCATGAGTATACTTTTAGAAATCTTATAGAACACTTTTATATTTTGGTGTCCAGGCCGTGTCATTTGGTCACAATTAGCTGGTATAAAAATATATATAGACTTATAGATTATTTTTAAAAATTCCAATAAGTGGGTGGGCAGAGGGTAGTAAGTTATTCATTCATAATGTCTCTACTAATGCCCACTCATGATGGCTAAAGATACATAGAATTTAAACTTACACACACACACGAACACACACACACACATATAAGACACACACACACACACACACACACACAAAGACACACCACCCTTCTCCCACAGTATCCTCTGCTGAATATTCTCTGTATCTTCATTGGTACTTTGATTATAAGCCAATTTTCCTGCACTTTCCAGAATATCTTTAGGATTTCGTTTTCCTGAATTATCCATAAATCTACTAAACATACCCGTATTGGCTTTTTTTTTTTTTTATTTTACATAACTCTAACATCTTATTTTACCCCAGAGTTCCCTACAGATATTCCTATAAATTTACTTTACCAGAATTATTTTGTCTTCTTTTCCCTTGAAATATCTCGACAACTCCATCAATAGATTCTCTGAGCACACAACTCTCTTTAATCACTACCAGTTACTTCACCCAACATCTCAGTCTTACTAAAGAAAAATAAATTACGCTGGAAAACATTAATAGTTGCTACCACACTATTACTTACATGTCTGCCACACAAGTAAATAAAAAAGTGTTATAAATATTCTGAAACCAAATATGGTTGAATTTTGGGGTGGACTTTGGTTTTACACAGTGACTAATAAAAATGATGTTTCTGTTTCTCTGAAGTGAGTATATTTTTCAATTATCTACCTCAATGTCATTTACTTAACCAACATTCGAATTTTCAATTTAGGAAAGAATAGAGAGATTCTTCAAGAATAGACCTGCCTATCAAAGAGGAAGTTATAAAGGGCGCCACCCAAATCTACTTACTTTACAAAAATAGCTTAATTGTAATTAACATAACCTCAAAACAAATATTCAATTGAAAGAATTTTAAAAAACAAACTAAATAAAAAAACATTGTTGTACTTCTTAAAAGAAATATCTCAGGCCACAGTTCTTTATTTATAAGAGAAATAAACTGAAAAATCCAAACATTTTATTTCATTTTACAATACTCATGCAGTTGCTTGTTATTTTTATTGACACAGATGACATTCTAAATTATAAATGATCATTGACTTAAACTACACTTAATGTCATGAAAATTCTACTTATCTAGTTAAAATATAATTCCTGATGTAAGGGTATTCTGAACTAAGTTTTGAAAACTTCAATAAATGAGAAATAATCTCTAGATAATCTTGTAAAATTATCAAATTTCTTTCCTTAGCTCACTAGAAAAACATACATTTCAGGGACTTGGTAAATTAAATTAAAAATAACTTTTTCTGGGACTGTTTCTTTAAGTTTCACTGGTCAACAATGTTGCTATTCTTTTTATTTTATTTTACTTTATTTTATTTTATTTTATTTTATTTTATTTTATTTTATTTTATTTTATTTGGCAGAGTCGTGCTCTATCACCCAGGCTGGAGTGCAGTGGCTCCATCTTAGCTCACTGCAATGTCCGTCTCCCAGGTTCAAGCTATTCTCGTGCCTCAGTCTCCTGAGTAGCTGGGACTACTGGCACGTGCCACCATGCCATGCTATTTTTGCATTTCTTAAAGTAGAGACGGGATTTCATGATGTTGGCCAGGCTGGTCTCAAACTCCTGACCTCACGTAATCCACCCTCCTCGGCCTCCCAGAGTGCTGGGATTACAGGCGTGAGACACTGTGCGTGAAGGGCCTAACAGTGTTCCCATTCTCAACTCATAGATCTGGTTTATAAAAGTCAGTCAGGTACTTTTCTAGACCATATAAATGTCAGTCACAATATTTATCAAAATAATCGCTCACTTTAAATTTAGCTGTGGGTACAGACTATGAACCACTTGCGCTTAGTTTGACAGAACAGATGTGAGGATCAATGTTTATCTTCATAATTATGTCATAAAGTTCTTACATCTCAAAGACTGTGTGCTTACATTCACAAAATTCTAAAACTCGACATGTATAATTCGACAGATTTTCTTTTCCAACTGATGTGATGTAACAAGAGGAGCAACAAAAGAAGAATCCCAAGATAATCACGTAATTATGTTAGGAGAGATTCTCAGTTTGATCTAATCCTGTCTAAATAGGCTGAAGGAAATTAGTCACTCAGAATTATATAAAAGGCTCTACTGAGGTATGTAAAACAATCTGTGCAGATTTTTTCAACCTCTTCTTGTGCCATCCAAGATATATGAATAGAGTTAAACTAGAATGTCACTGTGAACTATTTCTTCAACTTTATCTTCTTAGGAAGTTTTGTAGTTGTTTAGGACTGGGGAGAGAACTTAAAGAAATAACAGGAACTTGAGAAGAAATCACATATACAAAGGCACCTCACTTAAAATTGCTGAGCAATTTAAGCATAAATATAGGGCATAGATATAGACAGACCAATAAATTGATCAAATCAATTGTATATATATATTTATACATACATATATACATATACATAAGTAGATTTACAACATCTTTCACATTATATGCAGATATTAACTATCAAATCTTTATTATGTAGAAAGAGTGACCACAAAAGATGCACCGATTTAATGTCTAATTCAATAAATACTTACCAGTTTCCATGCATGTGTCAGGTCTTCAGCTAGATTAAAAAAAATACAATGTTGAATCAAATAATCAAAATTCATTATCTTATGAAGAATTGCATTCTCAAGACAAAAGACTTAGATAAATGAAACAGCACAAGTGTGTGCCTGTGCAGACATGCATTAATTGGTGAAATAAAAATATTAAATATATAATATGCTAGGCATACTAGAGTGTGAACTAAATAATCGTGTTAAGTGTATGTAATGTATATTCTGTGTGTACATGTGTTTGAACATATGTCTGTATGCATGTACATATATTTAATATATATGTACAGTACGTGGTATTTTCTACCCATGTCATGGTTTATATCAGATAGTGACAATTCCAGTGAAGAAAAAGCCAGAAGGCCAGATGTGGTGGCTCACACCTGTAATTTCAGCTCTTTGGGAGGCCAAGGTAGGTGAATCGCCTGATGTTAGGAGTTCGAGACCAGCTTTATCAACATTGTGAAACCCCATTTCTACTAAACATGCAAAAATTAGCTGGACATGGTGGCAGGCGCCTGTAGTCCCAGCTACTTGGGAGGCTGAGATAGGATAATTTCTTGAACCCGGATACTGAGGAATAAGTTACTGTGGGTTGAGGGTTTACTATTTTATTTAGAATAGACAGATAAATCTTGGTATGACATAATCTGATCCCAAAATTGGGTAGATGTTTCATGTCCAGTAGGGCAGTGTGGACAGTTAAGTGCTTTGTCTTTTGCCTTGAATGATAAAGAAAACTATTGTAGAGTTTTGAGAAGAAAAAGGCAATTTATCTTATGTGTAATATTAAAAGTCCTCTGCTGCAGTGAAGAGAAAAGATTGTAGAGGTAAATGAGCAAACGGAGAAAGCAGTTGGGGACCACTGTAGTAAATGGGCTAGCCCGGGGATGCCAGTGGCTTGGGGAAGGTGGCAGCCTTATGAATTTTTCATAACTTTATAAAAGTCTCAATTCTTCATGGCACAGTCCTGTGGTATAAGCTCTCATTTCACATCATGCATGTTTCCTCAATTCCCCATTTTAAATCCATATACTAAGATATTTCTGTTTCTCTTAAATATATGATATTGAAGTACATTATCTTTATGAACTACTTTATATATCAATATATATTTAGACTATATTTTTAATTATACTGTTTCTAAGTGTTCAATTCTTGTATAATAATTGTAGAATATTTAGAGATGAGAGAAAATGAAGATCATCTTTAATTCTACCATCTGAGCCTTTGCATTCTTTTGTTTTGAATACATACATGCGTATATGTGTATGATTATGGTCACTATAAAAATAGATTGTTGTCTGATTTTTGCACACACAGGAAAATTTATATATGCTTAAATATGCCTAAATACTCATTATGTTTTAAAACATAATTTTATTATTTAGTAAATAATAAAATACATACATAAATAACAAAATTATTATTAATTATTTTAGTCACCAATTATTTACTGAGTACTTAATATAGGCAGGGCCTATTCTTTGCACTTAAAATACATCAGTTAACACAGCTAGGAAGAAGAAAGTGCCGGCACACGTAAAACTTATGTTCTCATGGCAGGAAGTAACCAATAAATGATAATAAATAATAATCAATTAATAATTGTAACA